CTCCAGCGGGCAGTAATCACTCAGTGGCTGAAGCTCTCCTCATCTTCCTGGAGGCTCTTCCAGAGCCTGTGATCTGCTATGAGCTGTACCAGCGGTGTCTGGAGGGGTCCCACAACAGCCGGCTGTGCCGACAGGTGAGGGGCTGCTGCTGCCTCGGGGCAGCTCCTGCTGCTGTGGGCTGTGCCATGCCCCTGGGCCTGCCTGGCCCTGCTCCCTGCCTGGGGGCTGGCAGTGGCTCTGGGAGAGTGGGCAGCTCTTCCAGAAAGACCGCAAGTGAGGCATGTCTCACCCTGAGCACATGGAGAACAGGGAGGGGCCAAACTACCCCTGGTCCTAGAGAGAGCTTGAGCACCTGCTCAGAGCTACAATTCCTGTCCTTTGTGGAGAGCTGTGCGTGGCTCTTAACAGCTGGTGGGGCATCAGGCCAGATCAAGCATGTCCCTGAGGAGAGGGGGAAGTTTTGGGGCAGTGGGAGCTGGGATCTGGCTGGAAACAAGCAGGAAGCTGCCACAGGGCATTGGGGACTTTTCCTGGTGACACAGCTTTTCTTGAAGCAGTGTCACCAGGAGCCACAGCCCACAAGTGCCATCAGTACTGGGCTGCAGCTGTGGGTAAGTTGCTGTGGAACCCAGAGTGCCACCCATGCCGAGGCTGCAGCAGTGGGAGGTGGGAGAGCTTCCTGACACCATTTCCTTGCAGGTGATCTTTCAGCTGCCGAGCTGCCACCGCAACGTGTTCCGGTACCTAATGTCCTTCCTGCGGGAGCTGCTCAGGTACTCGGAGGACAACAACGTCAGTGCCACCATGATCGGTGAGTGTTGTTCCTCTGCAGCCCTCGCTCCATCCCAGCCTCTTCCTGTACCTCCCAAGGTCTTTGCGCCCTACCAGTGACTGATTTTACCTGCCTCCACAGCTGCCCTGTTCTCCAGCCTCCTCCTGCGCCCGCCGCCCAACCTGATGGCCAGGCAGACCCAGCAGGACCGCCAGCGTGCCATCAACTTCCTCTACAGCTTCCTGCTCACCGGGGATGAAGAATGACTCCTGCCATGTGCCAGAGCCGGGCCCGCGCTCCAGCTGGGCCTCTGACAGCTCCGAGGGGTAAAGGCTCGAAGCTCTCCAAGTGCCGTGTTTACAGTGGGAAGGGACGGTTCCCCTCCTTGCCATGCCGTACCCCACGCTGCAGAGGACCTGCACGCTCATTGCACTGCCATCCACCTCTGGAGCCTCCGGCTCCCCTGTGGGAGCCAGGTGGATCTGTCAATACCCGAGCACTGTGCCAGCACCCATCGTCCCATGGCAGTATCACCAGTTCCCAGGTCACGCTTCTCTCTGTGTCACCCCTATCTCCTAAGAGCTGCTGTAGAGAAGGGTGGGGATGGCTGGTGCTCTTGGAGGCCGTGGCACACTGCGTCCCTCCAGTGCCAGGTACATGTGCTGGTGTGTACACCACCCCAGACTGCTGTGGGACATGTGCCACCCTCTGCCACACAACCATGCCATCACTGTGCTATGGACTGTGCTGACCCAGGAAGGTTGGTTGGACATTCGGCCTCTCCCCTTCAGCATGGCCTTTCCCCTCTCCCCTCCCTCCCAAGACACGGGGTCTCGGCAGACAAGTCTGTCCCTGCACCCCCCACTCTGCCCTCATTTTCCTGTCCCTTCCCTGCCCCAGCTTCCCCCGAGGACACAGGATGGTGGGTGGCTCGCAGTGACCAGGGTCAGGCAGAGCCATGAGCTGCCCTCTGCTCCTCCTGGGCTGTGCTGTGTGTTTTGAGCAGGATGGGACCACTGTCCCTTTAGCCCAGCCTACAGTGTGGGGGTAGGACAGGCTGGCTCACCAGGTGCCACTAGATGGAGTCAATTGTCTCCTTCCTGGGGTGCTAGCAGAGGGTACAGGTTTTGGGGGAGTGAAAGGAGCCACAAATGCTCCTCGGGGGACAGAGGAGCAGCTGCCGGGGCTGTGTGAGGGAGCTGCAGTGTGAGAGACACACAGCTGGCTGAGGGGACAGCCCTGGGGCTGGTGGCTGAGGGTGCAAGAGTGGCCTGTCCCACTGAAACACTAAGGCCTGTGGGGCCACGTGGCCTCAGGTGAGGGAGGCCAAAGCCAAGGGGAAGGGGTTGTGGTCACAGAGCCCCCACCAGTGCCTGGGCTTAGCCCAGAGTGTCGTGTGGCCCTGTGGTCCCCATGCACTGGCTGAGCTGCTGCAGGCTCCCCTCCCTTCTGCCTTTTTCTTACCCTTGAAATTTTTAAATTACATAATTTATTGGGAAACTATTAGTTCCAAATAAACCTCTGTTGTGCAAGGCCTGGGGGCTGTGCAGGGCACACCTGCCCTCCCTCATGCAGTTCTGCACGGTCATGGATCTCCAGGCTCGCTCCTGGGGCAGCTGAGGGCTGGGCTCTCCCCCAGGCACTCCAGGAGCATGCTGGGCACAGCTGGGGACAGTGGCAGAGGGTCCCATGCCACTGGTTCCTGCTGGTTGAGCTCCTGGGTGCACCCTTGATGTGCTGGCACTGCAGCCCAGTGCCCATCCCACAGCGGGTGGTGGCATGTGCCACACCGGGATGGAGATGGCACTGGCTCTGGCCAGGTGCAGCAGGGCACTGGTGCCTGTGTGCAGCACACGGCTGCGGCAGCCCAGAGCAGTGATGCCTGTGGTGCCCAAGGCCCTGCTGGGCCAGCAAGGGGAGCAGTGGAGGAGAAAGCCCGCACGTCCTGCCGCAGGAAATGGCGGCCGGTGTCATCTCCATCTGCTTCCTGCCGGCTCCTTGGGAGCAGGGCTGTGCCTGGGCAGCTGCTCCTGTGCTGTCACGGAGGTGACCGCTGCTAGGTGCCGGCATTGTTCCCGCGGCCACCACATTCCTGCCACTGCCGGCGGAAATGCCGGAGCGAGAGGGGAGCTCTGATGCTCCCTGGGGATGGGACAGAGCCTGGGCCTGCCCAGCCTCCTCCTTGGAATGGCGTAAGGATCCTTACGGGGGACCCTGGAGGCTGTTGGGGTGCAGCTCTGGGGGTCTCATTCATGCATCAGCCCCCCTTGAAAATGGGCACTGAGGGATGCTGGTGGTACCCAGGTGGTGGTGCTGGAGGAGCTAGCTGACGGTGTCCCACAGTCACACTGAACATCCTTGCCAGTCCTAGGTGGGCAGTGAGCTCTCCCTGTCACCCCACAGCCAAAGGTCTCCAAGGACTGCAGAGCTCCACATCTGCTCAGCCCTCTCCCTGTGCCCCTGGCATCCCTCTTTCTGTGCTCAGTGAGCTGGGACCTGGCAGACCCCATCCTTGCCCTGCCAGGACAGATCCTGCTTGCACAGCAAGTGGGACAGGACTGCCCCGTGCCTCTCTGCCCATGTCCCCCAGCACTGCCCTGTCCCTGCTGCTCACTCTGCCCCACCTCATGTTGCAGTACAAGAGCTCTGGCACTGCTGTGGCACACGAGGTACAGGGAGCATGGCCGAGCTCAGCAGCTCCCACCTGCCTGTGGGCAGCCAGCCAGGCCAGGAAGAGCCAGAGATTCCTTAGGTCTCCCGGCCCAGAAGCCTTTTCCTCCTTCCAGGCTGGCCACAGCCCAGCCAGGAGGTCCTCCCTGGCCTCCTCCTTTCAGGCTGGTGCAGGAGGGCTGGGGTCAGGGCTCAGCTGTGCAGCCCCTGGCTGCGGCCCAAGCACTTGGGGCTGGGCGATGCCTGGGGCACGTGGGGCATCACTGCCTTGCTGCCACGGCCACAGCAGTTGTTCTGGGGGTCTGCCGGGCCCCCACTGCTAGTCCTGCAGCAGGCACCTCACCAGATCCCTTGGGCAAGGGGCCTGCTGCTGCAGCTGGGGAGGCAGACCATGGGCATTGAGAGGCGGTTTGAAGCGCAAGGGGAGAGCTCTCCCAGTTCAAACCAGTAGCAGCAGCACTGGGCGGCAGTGGAGGAACAGTAAACCCCCCCCAACATCCCAGAGCTGGAGCCGGGGGTAGCTGGAGGGGCCTGTGGCTGGGGCACCACGTCCTGCCCCACTCCAGCTCTGCGAGGCTGCTGGGTCTGGAAAACGGCACGGGGGCCAGGGCAGGACTGAGCAGTGGGTGGGCAACCCTTTGCCCGCCCACCCACCCAGACCATCACGGGGCCACTGACAGTGACTCCTGGGGTGGCCGTGAAGCCGGGTGGGGTGGCAGGGTCTCAGGGCAGCGGGCAGCAGTGGCTCGCAGGGCGCCGCGGGGTCGCGGATCGCGCGGCGGGCGCGGTGGCGACGCGGCCGGAGCGCTGGCGCGGGGCCGGGCAGCGCATCCCTCCCGGTCCCGGCGGATGAGCTAATGGAGGCCAGCTGGGTCCCGGCGCTTCCCCAGCCCGCAGCTGCAGCCCTTCCGCTCCTCCACAGCTCCTTAACCCCCTCCCCGCCGGCGCTGCCGACCCCTGCCCGCAGCCCGCACCCGGAACGTGGGCAGCCCCCTGCAAACAGTGAGGGGCTTGGAGGCCCCGCATGGGCACTCCCTCTCCCAGCGTCCCAGCTATGGCAGGGGGTGTCCTGTCCCGTGGAGTCCCATCCCTTTGCAGGGCTCAGCCCCTCCTCCCCACCTGCAGGATCCTCAGTCCCCTGAGCCTTGACCCTCCTGCCCCCATATGGGTCCTGCTCACACCCAGCCCCATGGGGTGGGGACACGTAGGAAAGGAATGCCAGGGATACCAGGGACAGGGACACCAGAAACAGGGATAGCAGTGACTGAACACAAGGGACAGGGATGCCCAGGAGGACCAGCATCCCTGTGCCCTTCCAGCATCCCCTCCGACCTGTGTTTTCCCACCCTCCTTGCCAACTCCACAGGCTCAGCACATGGCTTCACTCTTTGCTGAGCACCTTCTCTGCCAGCAATGGGCTGGGAAAGGGGCTGCCATGGCCACAGCCATGACCCCCAGTGCCTATAGACAGCCCCAGGAGGGAGCAGAGGGACCCGAGATCCCTCCGCACCAGCAGGAGAGCAGCCCCTACCTGCCCTTCCAGAAATCAGCATTTCCTGAGTTAATAATCATAACTCTTTATTATAAAGATGTATTTACATGGAATAAATCTTTACAGACACAGAAGACAATCAGCAGGGCCCAGCTCAGAGCCAGGGCCCCTCCTTTGGTGCATGGCAGAGCTTGACGGAGACCCCAGTGCCCCCCATTCCTGCTGTCCCATGGCATGAAGCAGAGGGGCCCAGGGCCCCACAGTGTGTCCTGGGTGGGCACCCCACTCCACCACGAGGTGGGTCTGCCAGCGGGAAAGGGAAGGCAACTCACTCAGGGTGTGGGGTGAGCACCATGGGAATAAATAGACCCAGGACAAGCTGTGTGCTCCCTCTAGCGTGAGGGTGACAGACAGGGCTGGGGCAGGACCCCGAGGGAGCTCACAGACCCCTAGGAGAAGCTGCTCTGCCTGACAAAGTGCTTTGCACAAAGCCCGTGGTCCCAGCGGGCCGATGCCCGAGCCAGTCATTCCATGCACATCAGGGCATCGTGGCAACCCTGGCCCCTCTGCGGGCAGCCCCCATCCAGCCGGCCCTGCGAGGCAGTGAGGAGAGGCCACAGTGCCAGACATGGCACTGGGGACGACTGCCGGGAGAAGGCGGGGCCGGCCGAAGCCTTACAGGGGGGACCCCAGGCTCAGGGCCGGAGGATGAGCAGATGGGGCGAGAACGGGGCGCGAGCAATGGAAGCGAGTCCGTGGAAGGCTGGTGGCACCCCTGCAACGAGAGCAAGCCCAAGTACATATGAGTTCCCTCACGGCACCGTCACATGTTTCCCTGCATCTCCCGTGCCCCACTGCATCTCACCTGGCTCAGAATGGCATGGGCCCCTTGTGGGAGAGCCGGGGCCGGGGCCGCCGGGACCTCCGCCAGCCCCCGGGCCGCGGGCCGGTCCCACGCCGTGCACCCCGCGGCCGCACCAGCCTTCGGGTGAGGCCGCCCTGGGCATCCTTCCCGTCCGGCGCCCTCCGCAGCGGCCCTGAGGAGATCAGGAACAGCGTTAGCCACGCGTCCCCCCACGCAGGACAGGGACAGCAGTGGGGCTGCCTGGCCCTGGGCCGGCCGGTTTCCTGGATTGTCCCCAACAAGAGCCCTCACTGCCAAGCGCTTCCTCTGCCGGCCACCTGTGCCATCCGTGGCCATCGCGTGCGGCCACGGCCGCCGGCCGCAGCGCGGGGCATGCGGCTGCTCAGCCTCTGCTTCAGCCCCAGCCCTCCGCACAGCCACCCCTTCTCTGAGCCACCGAGACGCTCAGCCCTTCACCCCGAGCCGGTTCTCGCATCCCCGTCGTGCCTGGTGCCGGTACTGCGAGCAGAGGTTCCGTTCCCCCGGGGCCCTGGAGCCGGGATGCTCTGCTCCCCTGGTGCCTGGCGGGGATGCTTCGGCCCCAGCTCCTGTCCCGGCGCCCCGCGGGGTCGGTCGGCAGCCGGGGCCGGGCCCGGGGCCGTGCCCCGCGTGGGTCCGGTTGCGGGTCCCGGCGATGCCCAGGGCTGTCACCGCTGCTCCGGACGCTCCCGCTCTGCACGGGGACCGGGCGTTTTTTGGCTCCAGAGAACGCGCTTTGTCTGTCCCCAGTCCAGCGGCAGCGGATCCCGGCGCCCCCCAACCCGCGGCCACCCCGGCGCGGTCCCCGCCGTCCCCTCTTTCCTCACTCCCTCCCTTCATCCCCCGCTGCCGGCGGGAGCTCCCCGCGGGCGTTCGGCTCTCACCGGGGGCGGCCAGGACGAGCCCGAGCAGCAGCAGCAGCAGCAGCAGCGGGGCCAGGAGCCGGCGCGGCGCGGCCATGGCGGGGGGCGGCGGGGGCGGCCGCCGGGGGAGCCGCATTTGTAGGCGGTGAGAGCCCGGCCCGGCCCCGCCGCCTCCCGTCATCTGGCCCCCGGGATGGGGGGAGGCTTCCCCTCCCGCCCTGCCCCGCCCCGCCGCTGGGACACCCCAGCGGGTTCCCCCCGATCCCGGTTTGCTGCCTGATCTCCTCCCGGCACATCCTCCGGGGGATTCCCCGCCCACAGTCCCCTCATCGCGTCTCCAGCGCCCTGAGACCACCCCAGCTTGTCCAGGGGCCCCCATCCAGCCCGAATCTGGGACCCGCTCCCAGCCTAGCCCAGCCTCTGTGCCCAGCCTGGTCCAGGACTCCCTACCCCGCGTGGTGCTGGGACCCCCACACCCAGACCCTAACACTGCACCCAGCTTGGCGTGGGATCCCCGCACAGCCTGGATCCAGCATGTCCCCTTCCACCCTCGTCCTGGGACCCCCATCCCAGCCTGATCCTCAGATTCTGGCACCCTCCACTTCACTTGGCACACGCAACCCCTCCCAGTGCCCCCCTTCCCCTGGCACCCAAGGGGCAGGGGCCGGTCCTGCCCGCCCACTGTCCCCTCCAGCCCCCCAGCCAGGCAGTGTCTGCACAGGGGTCAGTGTGTGGTGAATTGCCCTCAGCCCGCATTGCAGAGGGGAGAAGGGAGAGAAATCAGGAATGACTTTGGCCCAGGAGGAATGGAGAGGTGGGAAAAGGGGTTAAGGTTTGGGGGCTTTTCTCGTTACCCTGCTCTGATTTGATTGGTGATAAATATATAAAAGGGGAGATTTAGATCAGATATTAGGAAGAAATTCATGGCTGTGAGGGGGGTGAGCCCCTGCCACAGGTTGCCCAGAGCAGCTGTGGCTCTCCCTGGATCCCTGGAAATGTCCAAGGCCAGGTAGGACAGGGCTTGGAGCAACCTGAGATAGTGGAAGGCATCCCTGCCCATGACAGGGGTTTGGAACAAGAAAGATTTTAAGGCCCCTTCCAACCCAAACCCTTCCATTATTCCATGATTTTATGAAATTCCATTAATTTCCCCAAACTGAGTCTGTTTCACCCATGCCTGCATCTGGTGATGTACTGGTCCTTATCTCAATCTTTTCCTTGTATTTTCCCTCCCTGCTCAGTTGAGGAGGCAGTGATGCAGCAGCTTTGGGGGCACCTGGCCAGGGTGAGCCTCCACAAAGGTGGGTGTCATTAACCCTCAGAAAGGTGAACCACAACTAAACTGCACCCTGAGAGAGCCCCTGCCAGCAGGGTGAGGGGGCGGGGGGTGCCCCAGACAGGGTGTGGGGACAGAGGGGCATAGGGGGGGACTGCAGGAGGAGTTGTATGGGGGGTGGGTGTATGAGGCAGCTCTAGGAGGGGCTGGTGACTGCATTGGTTTGTGAGGGGGGACTCTAGAAGGGGCTACAGGAGGAGTGGGGGGATGTTAGGAGAGGCTGTACCCGTTGTGTGGGTGTCATGTCACAGCCCCACACATGTCTGTGGTACCACAGAGGGGCACATCCCCTGAACCTGTCCCATCCCTGTTGGCTGTGGCCTCTCGCCCCAGCCAGGTTCTCCTGCAGGCCCCACTCTGGCCCAATGTGGGGTCAGCACCCCCTGCCAGTGCTGTGCACCCCCAAAGTGCCTCTTCAGGGGGAGCAGGAGCTGTAGCCTCATCCCCGCAGCCCAGCTGCCCAGCTCTGTGGCGCAGGGAGGAGGCCCCAGCCCATCCCTGGGCAGGCATCACAGGGCACACCCCGCCTGCCAGGGCACCCTCAGGATCCTGGCAGCATCCCGGTGCCACCGCCGGCTTCCGCATTCCTGCGGCCGCACGCCCTCCCCGCGTCCTGTTTGCCGGGCGCGTCTCCCCGGCCTGAGTCACCCCGCGGCCTCTGCAGGTGACGGAAGGCCAACAATAGCCCACAAAGGGAGGATGTCCCCCCAAAGCCTTCCTCCGGCTCGTCTTCGAGGAAACCTCCCGCGGGAGGGACGGGCCCCACCGGACGCGCGGCGGCCGAGGAGCTTCGTCCTGTTGACGCTGGCTCGGGCGACATGCGGCCCTGGGGTCCCCGGGCCCGGCCCGTGCCACCCCCGCGCTGGGCCAGCAGGACCTGCCATTGCGGGTGATGGCACCGCGGGTGGAGCTCAAAGGGCAGGAGTAAAGGGGGTGAGGACGCCCCTCGCCGTGGGGACCCCCTGGGTGCAGCCCTGGGGTGAGGAGTGCAGCCCTCAGCCCCATTAAGGCGTCTCACTGATGAACAGGATGGCAGCAAAGTGCTGTCTGAGTGTCCCCACGGCACCGCACCGCGTCCCGGGGACACTGCGTAACAATCGCAGCAGCTTCGGTGTCCCTCTCCCGCCTGTCTCTGTCTTGCCCCTGATGGGGACCCCGCCCTGCCCCTTCCTGGGCTCCTCTCACAGAGGGGGGACCAGCGGGGGATGCCAGGCACAGGCAGCCCGAGACATTCATGACATGAGCGTTCCAGGGCTCAGCTGGACGGAGCGGATGGCCAGGGCTCCCCCCGGCTCTGCTGCTGCCGGAGCTGCAGGTTGGTCAGGGACAGGACACAGGACAGTGGGACACGGGACAGGGGTCTGCGGCTCCACGGCGCAGTCCTGGTGCCACCTCGTGGTGAGCAGGGTCCCAGTGCCACAGCTGGACAGTCGGAGCGGTGTCACGGCGGGTGGAATGGTGACACTGCTGGACAGGCAGGCGTGGACACACCAGACAGTGTGAGGACACAGCAGAACTGTCCCTGAGGGGACACAGCTGGACAGTCAGAACAGTGACACAGCCAGACAGTTCAGTGACACAGCTGGACAGTCGGTGTGCTGACACAGCCAGACTGTCATTGCAAGGGTAGAGGCCTAAACACCTGTGTGCCCAATAGGGCATGAAGTGCCACCGGGAAGAGGCAGCAGGAGGGTTCATAGCCCCCACACAAATCCAGCTTTATCCGGCCTGGAGCTGAGCCTGTGAGAGCCGGGCTGCAGGGATCCCAGGCCCAGGAACAGGGGATCACATCCCAAAGATCTTCATGGGCTGTGATAAGCAGTGATCCTGTAGGAAGTGCTCTGGGAGGGTGGGGATGTGAATCTGGGGGACAAATGTTTTTTCAGGGCCCATTACAACAGATTACAACTCTCTTTTAAATTAAAGAGAGTTGGTGTGGATTAGATAGAGGGAGGAAAATCTTCCCTATGAAGGTGGGGAGGCCCCAGCACAGGTTGCCCAGAGCAGCTGTGACTGCCCCATCCCTGGAAGTGCCCAAGGCCAGGCTGGAAGGGGCTCGGAGGCACCTGGAATAGTGGCAGCTGTCTCTGCCCATGGCAGGGGGTCAAAACGAGAGGGTCTCTGATGTCCTTTCCAGACTCAACCAATCTGTGACCCCGTGACCTGTCCTGGGTGGGGACGTGCATTCATCCCTGGAGATCTGTGTTCGTGCCAGGGATGGACACCTCCAATGCCTGTGGCAGCAGGTCTGCCCTTCTCCCAGCCCTTCCTCCACAACCAGAGTCATTAAAGCTGCTGGAGGAATTACCGTGCAATCAAAGTGACAGGCCTCGGGGCCAAGGCTCCTTATGATGGAGATAATGAGGTTTTGGCAAGGCAGATGCAAGGAGGTGCGGAGCTGATGGGCCTGGAGGGACAAAGGGCACATCCCAGCAGGATCCTCCCGTGGAACACAGGTCTTTGTGCAGCCTCAGCAGAGGCTGCTGGTCCCGGGCACTTAACAGGGGCTGGTGCCCACCTGCATGGCTCCATGTCCTGTGGAGGAGGAGGGATGGCTTCGGGGGCTGATTGGCTTGGGGAACATCTGGCCCTCACCCCAGAGATCCTGTGTCAGCTCTCCATAGATCCAAAACACAGGGGTTCTTCAGGGAGCAAAGCCTTTCCCTGACCTCTCCCTGGCCATTAGGGGGTGCCAGGCTCAGTTGGCATGCTCCCACTTCTGCTCCTGCAGGATCTTTGGACTTTGTGCTGATTTTGCTGTTTGCTTTTATTTAGCAGTGGAATTCACTTTTCAACGAGACAACAAACCCTGCCCCCCACCCCCTGTATCTGCTGAGGCCTCTCCCTCCCATTCCGCATCCCTCTGCCCCTGGGGCAAAGGCACAGGAGGAGGGACCTGTCTCACACTTGGTGCCAGGCAGCAGCCATGTCCCCCCCGCTCTGGATCGCAGCCTGGGCGCTCCTGCTCCGCGGTACGGCAGAAGGGCGGGGCGCTGGGGTGGGAGCACAGCTGGGGTCCCCCAGGAGCCAGATGTGGAGAACGAGGGATGCTCCAGCCGCAGCTCTGGGTGAAGCAAAGGTGGGGCACACCGGGGTAGGAGCCAGACTGTGTCGCAGGGCTCACCCTGCCCGGCTGCCTCAGGGGTGGGCCCGGGGCAGGTGACAGGTAAGAAGCAGACCCCCAGGGTGCAGACACCTGCTACCCAAGCCCCCTCATGCTGAGGATGACCCCACCGATCCCAAGCTGTGTGCCCTTGGCCCGAAGTGAGAGGCCAGGGGCCAGCTGGTGATGGAGAGCCCAGGGAGGGGTGGTGGGACCCCGTGCCAAGCAGCCCTGGGGAGAGGTCAGGTCCAGCTGGACATGGCCCCGCTGTCAGCCAGTTCCTTCGGCAGCCCCAGTGCTGGGATGCTCCAGGCAGGCTCCTGCCAGCTCCTCCATGCTCTGCGCTGGACACCAGCTGCTCCCCGTGACGATTCCACTGTAGCACAGGCACCGGGAGATTTATCTCCTCTCAAACCGGGGGATGACATGGTTTTTCATCCACTATTCCTGGGGCTAAAAACACTGGGTTTTGCAAAAAGCCCCAAGCTTGGCTGGCTGGTGTTTGGGGCTGGGGACGAGGGTCACAGCTGCCTGGTGCGGTTCCGGGCTGGAGCAGAGGTCCAGCAAGCCCCCCAGGCTGCAGCCTGAGGCTCCCGAGCGCTGCCGTGTCCACAGGCTGTGCTTCAGGGTGGGAGCCGCAGGCTCCTTCCACCAGGAATGACATCCGGGATTGCTCCGCGGACCCGCCGGTGAGCCCCGCCTTGCTCCCCCTCCCTGTTCCTGAGGCCCCCGGCACAGGGTCCCCCCCAGTCCCAGCACGTCCCCCTGTGCCACCAGTACCTGCCACCGACGGCCACCAACACGACGGCGCGTCTTGCTGTGCTGCGGGGCATCATGCAGACCCACGGCGCCCACGCCTACATCGTGCCCTCCACGGATGCCCACATGGTAAGGTGGGAGTCCCCCGCACCCCAGAGACCCGCTCCGTGCCCACAGCCACCTCTCACTGCTCCATCCCGGCTCCAGAGCGAGTACATCTCCGAGCGGGACGCCCGGCTGGGCTGGCTCACTGGTTTCACCGGCTCCGCAGGTGAGGGCACCCCCCAAATCCTGGGGTCGCTGCTGGGGGCTGGCACTTGCCTGCTGGTCCTCATTCCTGGGGATCCGTGTGCACGGCACAGTCCCACTCCCCGAGAGCCGCTGGGGGTCCCTGCCGGCTGCAGGGAGAGAGAAAGAGGTGACCCCTGAGCCCCGTCCCCTGCCCCAGGCACCGCTGTGGTGACGCAGGACAAGGCTGCCCTGTGGACTGACAGCCGCTACTGGACCCAAGCAGAGCGGGAGCTGGACTGCAACTGGGAGCTGCAGAGGACAAGTCAGTGGGGGCAGGATGGGGGCTTCTGAGTCTCCCCGCTCCCAGGGACACCCCCAGCCCCTGCCACAGCCTCCTCTGGCCTCAGCGCAAACTCGCGGTGCCACTCAGCTCTCTCCTGCAGCCTCGATCGAGTCCATTGGGATGTGGATCTTGAAGGAGGTTCCTGAGGAGGGGAACGTCAGTTTGGACCCCTTCCTTTTCTCCATCGGTAGGGCTGGCTGACCCTGTGGGTCACCCTGCCCACGGGAGGGCAGCCCCTGGGTGTGAATTTACCAGGAGGCCAAACCTGCGGGCTGCTCACCCCCCAGACACCTGGAACAGCTACAGCCAGGCTCTGCACGGCTCCGGCCGGACCCTGCTCCCCCTCGAGACCAACCTTGTGGATCAGGCATGGGGTGACCAGAGACCCCTTCCCTCCTCCAGTGAGATCTACAGCCTCCCAGCAGAGTTCACAGGTCTGACCCCAGCCTCCCGCAGCTCACCCACGGCACCCCCAGCCTGGGGCCGCGCTGGTCCCTGCACTGAGCCGACCACTTGCCCGACTCGCAGGGAGCCGCTGGCAGGACAAGGTGGCTGGGATCCGGCAGCGGATGGAGCAGCATGTGCAGCGCCCCACAGCCGTGCTGCTGTCGGGGCTGGAGGAGACAGCCTGTAAGCAGCCATGGTGCCGTGCTGGGTCATGGCAGGGGCCGTGGGCTTGAACCCTGGGGGTGGGAGGGCAGTGTCAGTCACGGGTGCAGAGGCCTCGTTCCTGGCAGGGCTCTTCAACCTCCGCGGAGATGACATCCCCTACAACCCTGTCTTCTACTCCTACACCCTCCTGACCAACACGACCATAAGGTGGGCAGCACATCCCTGTGGGCACAGGGCTTGGAGGGGCCCCCACCCACCCTCTTTCCAGCCTTCCTTTCCTGAGCCAGCCCCCATGGGACCATCCTCTCAGTCCCGTTGCCCCTTATCTCCAAAGCCACTCCATCCTGCCATGCCCAGCCCCACTGACTGCCCTTCTGAGCTACACATCTTTCCCAATCCATCCCCCCGCTCCCAGCCCACTCCAGGGCATGGCACACTCCCTTTCCTCACAGCTCGAGTTTCTCCCATTCCCAGCCCAGCATCCCCTCACAGCCCCCCAGGTCCCTCCTTTCTGCTGCTGTGGCCGGACTTGGGGGGACCAAAGGCAGCAGGTGACCACCAGGTCTGTGCCCGCCCCATCCCGCTCCCTCCCCAGCCTGTTCGTGGAGGAGTCCCGGCTCTCGATGGCGGCGCGGGAGTCCCTGCGCTCGGGCTGCCCGGGGCCGCTGTGCGTGGAGCTGCAGGAGTACGGGCAGGTGAGCGCCCACCTGCTCCACTACGCCCAGGGCAACGTCACCGTGTGGCTGGGCACCGAGTACACCACCTACGGCCTCTACTCCCTCATCCCCCAGGTGGGCACCGAACCTGCCCATGGGGCATGCGGGTCCTGCAGGCTCGGGGACGGCCCCATGTCACCGCATTGTGGGCGCATTGAGGGGACAGGTAGCTGTGTCACTTTCTGCCTGTCCTCACAGGAGAAGCTGCTAGAGGAGAGCTACTCGCCTGTGATGATGGCCAAGGCTGTGAAAAACACCCATGAGCAGGAGATGCTGCGAGCTGCCCACGTAAGGGCTGTCCCCCTCCTCACAGTCCCCTGCAGAACGTGGGGGAGAGCAGGGGAAGCAGGGTGCTGATGCCCCCTCGCTGTCACCGGTACCCCCAGGTCCGGGATGCGGTGGCCGTCATCCAGTACCTGCTGTGGCTGGAGAAGACAGTCCCGCAGGGGCAGGTGGACGAGTTTTCAGGGGCTCAGCACATCGATGCACTTCGCTGGTCAGTGCTGCCCCTGGCCTGCCCTGCCCAGGGAAGGGCAGCCGGGGACCCTCAGCACCTCCCTTTCTCCCTGCTGCCTTCCAGGGCCCAGGAGCACAGCCGTGGGCCCAGCTTCCAGTCCATCTCGGCCAGCGGGCTCAATGCAGCACTGGCTCACTACAGGTATGGCTGGGGCAGTGGTGGGCAGTGGGCAGGGGGCGGTGGGCAATGTCCAGCTGGGAGAGGACTCTGACACACCTCCCCTCGCAGCCCCTCCAACGGGAGCAGCAGGACACTGTCTGCAAGAGAGATGTATCTCTTTGACACTGGAGGGCAATATCTGTGCGTAGCTTTGAACAGAGACCCCCCCACCACAGCCCCACATCCAGGGGCCCCCAAAGCCAGTGCTGTGGCTGCATCAGCCCCATTCACGACCCCCCTTTGCAGGGATGGGACAACAGACATCACTCGCACAGTGCACTGGGGTGAGCCCACCCCACTCCAGAAGGTACCAGCCCCTCCCGTGTCAGCCAACATTCCCCTGTACTGTCCAGGGCAACCCTGAGATGCCCAGCACCCCCCTGCACCACCCAGCACTCCCTATGGCACCCTGCATCAGGTCCTGGCCAGGGCTGGATGTGCAGGGGTGAGTGTCTGGTACCACCACACTCACGCCCTGCCATGCCATACAGGAAGCCTACACCCGTGTGCTGATGGGCAACATTGACCTCTCCCGCCTCGTCTTCCCATCCAACACAGCAGGTGGGTGCCAAACCCAGCATTGGCCCTGCACAGAACCCCTGGCACAGGGAGCGGGAGGGCACGGGGGAGCCCCATGGGCTCCTTGGCCCCCATCTCACCTCTTCATTCCCCAGGGAGAACGGTGGAGTCCTTCGCCCGCCGGGCACTCTGGGATGTTGGACTCAACTATGGCCATGGGACCGGCCACGGCATTGGCAACTTCCTCTCAGTCCATGAGTGTAGGTGCCACCAGCACTGGCGCTGGGCATGTGTGCCGAGCGACAGGGACAGGGATGAGGACGGGAGCTCACTGGGGGCTTCCCAGAAGAGCCTCTATAAGGGGCAGGGAAATCCCTACTTGCAGTCTTTGCCAGTGTGGCCCCATGATCCTTGCTGAGGTGGTCCCAAGGTCCTTACTGGGATGATCCTTGTCCTTGCGGTGGTCCTTGCCGTGGTGGCCCCATAGTCCTTGCCCTGGTGGCTCTGTGGTCCTTGCTGGGGTGTCCCTGCAGCACATGCCATCCACAGAGCTCTGACCCACCTCATGTCCCTGCAGGGCCCGTGGGTTTCCAGTCCAACAACGTGCCACTGGAGGCCGGCATGTTCACCTCCATCGGTATGTCCCAGCACCCCAGCTGGCATCCCGGCTCTCCGCGACAACCCTGGGCACAGAACCCAAGCAGGGACAGGGTGTCAGCTCTCAGCCCCACTCAGGGGCCAGATCCAGCCCCACTGGGGTGGGCTAGGGGAGCCGCTGGGTCTTGGGGCTCACCAGCCTTGTCCCCGGCCCTCAGAGCCCGGGTATTACCGGGATGGAGAGTTCGGGATCCGCATTGAGGACATCGCCCTTGTGGTGGAGGCACGGACTGAGGTAGGGCAGTGGGGACAGGGTGACAGGGGTGGCACACCATGGGGGCCTGCATCGAGTCAGGGGTGGGAGCAACTCCAAGGGGGTAGGGGACACCCAATGACACCTCTCTGTGGCAGCACCAGAGTGGGGAGAAGCCTTTTCTGACCTTCGAGGTGGTGTCCCTGGTGCCCTACGACCGCAATCTCATTGACCTCAGCCTCCTGTCCCCAGAGCAGGTACGGGGGTGTGCTTGGGGTGGGGAGCAGAGCAGGGATGCGAGGTCAGCACAGGGGCTTGGGGGGTGGATGCAGGAAAAAAACAGGACCATGGCATGAGGCTGAAGTGGGTAAATAAGGACAGAGCAAGGATGGGTGCATGGATGAAGAGGGGCAATGAGCTCTGCAGGTGGGGCCAGTGGTCGGCATGTGGGACAGCTGGACGGGGAAGGCCAAAGGCAGGGGCGGCACCCAGGTCACCCCCCGGCAGCTCCCCGTGGTGTCTGGCTGCAGATCCGGTATCTGAACTCCTACTACGAGAGGATCCGGGCACACGTGGGGCCGGAGCTGCGGCGGCAGCGGCTGGAGGAGGCGTACGCCTGGCTGCAGGAGAGCACCGAGCCCTTCCCGGTGAGCAGCGCCGGCCCCGCCGCCACGGGCACGCTGGCCCTCGCCTCGCTGCTCTCGGTGCTGCTCAGCCGGCTGGGGGCCTGATCCCGCACCCGTGGCCCCACCACGGCCGGGTCTTCCCCCGCCCTCACTTCCTATTTTTTTGGTGTATTCTATTTGCTCGTCTGTGATTAAACACGAGCAAGGCGGGCCCCGCTGCGCCCTGCTGTGCCCGATGCGCTGCGCGTTGCCTCGCCGGCGACTTCGGGCTGGAGTCCGGCCCCCAACCCCACCCCTGTGACCCTGCCTGTGCCACCTTGTCCTGCCCTGAGGCGACCAAGCCAACGCCGACACTGAGGAGATGGATTTGGGCAGATTATAACTGTGGGGCAAAAGATGGAGGATTTGGAGTGAGAAGATGCAGGGCAGCCAGCCCAACCACGGATGTCCCCGCGGGTGCTAGCAGCGCGTCCCAGCTGGTGTGATGCCGAGCCGGGAGGACCTGCGGGTACAGGGGACACCCCAGACCAAGTGTCACGCAGAGCACCTGGCTATCATGTCCCAGCAGGATGAGCAGGCACGGGGGTGGGCACGACACAGGGGTTGGGGACTGTCACCTTCTCCAGGGGGAACACACGATGCCCATCTGCAGAGGGCCAAGGGGCGGCAGCACTGCCAAGGGGAGGCAGGCCACGGGCAGCATCACCGAGGGGCGGCACGGCCCTGTGAGAAGTGTCAGGGCGCAGACACCGTCCCCACCCAGGGGCCCCGGGCAGGGCGGCAGCTCGGTGGAGGGTTTCCTTCCTCCTGCCCCAGCCCGCGCTTCGCCAGCCGCCCCGAGCACGGCTGCGAGCGCCTCTCATGTGACCGCCGGCTTCCTGTGCGCTCCCGGCTCGGTGCCGGTGCCGCGGGACGGACGGGACGGGACGGGACGGGACGGGACGGACGGGCCGCGCTCGCCGCCGCCGGACGCTGAGCCCTCGCCACCGGCCCCAGCGCCATGCTGCGCCGCAAGCCTTCCAACGCCGGCGACAAGGAGCCGGGACACAGGAAGGTGAGTGCTAGCGGCATCCAGGTGCCCTCAGCGTCTCACACGTCCCGGTACATCCCGAGCTGTCCGAGCCTGGGCTGCCGTGGGATGCTGAGCAGGAGGGCTGGTGCCGGGGGTTGGGACAGCGCGGCAGCTGCCCTGCCATCAGCTTGTCTCTGCTGCCACCAGCCACTGTGGCCTCGCCAGTGCGTGGTCCTGGCCTTGTCCACCTCCCACTCTGCTTTCCATCCTGTTGGAACGTGTGGCTGGGATGCACATCCCCCGGGATCGGCACGGGTGCCAGCTCAGGTGCCGGTGGGACCCGCGGAGCTCTGCTGGGGGAGGCTGTGCCCTACCCCCCATGGCCTCCCCGGCGTGGGCGGCCGCTGTCGCTTCCTGGGGGCCATGGCTGCGGTGGCGGCCGTGCAGCTCTTGCGCAGCAAGGTGCTGCGGTCGGGCTGTCATGTGCGTCAGCCGCTTCCTCCGGCAGCCCCGCTGCGAGGTGCGAGCTGCAGGAGCACCGGCTGCCAGTGTCACGGCCTCTCGAGAGCCCCCTGCGTGGCATGGGCATGGTCAGCCACCATGTGGCTGAGGTCGGGAGGCTGAAGTCACCAGTGGAGGCCAAAACTGGCTCCTCATCCCCTGCCAGGTCTCGTACCAGCTGGCACTTCAGCTCTTGCCAAGCTTTGCTGGGCTGGCATCAACATCAGCAAGTCACCACGGGGAGCAGAGGCAGTGCCTGGTGGCAGGGTCCTGCCCATGACAGGCACAAATTCTGCCATGGCAGTTCTGCCAAGCTCCCACAGGAAATCTGGGTGAAGTCCCCCTGCCTGCACTGGGGTGGCCCATCGAGCCTGGCCAGTCCCAGTGGGCATCCCCTGCCCTTGCCCAGCGACAGCCACTCTCACTTCCCCCTCCTGCTCTGCAGCGGGAGAGCCCGGCCCCCCTGACTCACATCCCACTGCCGGGCTCTCCATAGCTCCTCCAGCCCCAGGGCACTTCTGCCTCAGAGCTGGTTTATCTCAGCAGTGAAGCCGTGGGAGGTTCGGTGGACCTGGATCTCGTGGATTCCGGGCACCGGGGTGGGAGCAGGGCAAATGGCAGCATTCCCTCTGCACAGATGCACCTGGAGCTGGCATGAAGCCACAGTCAGTGTGCAGCTGGGTGTGGCACCGTGAGCCAGCCCTCTGCAATGGCCAAACCAAGTGCTCAGGGGTGCTTGGTGGAGCCAATGAGAAGGAGAATAAAGAGGGAACAGCACAGAGCCAGGCTGTGCAGGGCTGGTAAAGGCCTCCACCATAACAGGAGCTGGCAGAGCTGCTTGAGAACAGAAATCCCTGGTTGTGGTGGTGTCAGAGCAAGCACGGTGGTGTGTGCTCTGAGGGGCTCGAGTGCTGGCAATGGCAGCCGAGCTCACTGTGCCCCTGTGTGTGAGCACGCTGGTGCTGGCATCCAGGGATGAGGGACACCTGGGACCAGGTGGCTGTGCTGGCACCAAGGGTGTTCCTGGCATGGAGAAACCCTTCCATGTGAGAGGCACCTGAGGCCATGGAGAGGAAGGCAGGCAGGGGACACAGGAAAGACTAAAAGGGGTAAGGGACGGAGAGGTGTACCAAGACTAGATCCAATACCAGCTTTGATGGCTTAGGCATGGAGGTGACACCAAGCCAGCTGGTGATGCTGGGGGTGTGCTCTCTGGGCTATGGGGTGACACTCTCAGGTGGAAAACATGGATTTGTGATGAATCCTCCAGGATTTCAGTCCTGGAGCTGACCCTGTGGGTAGCAGCAGGGACATGGTTCTAAGCATGCATTCACTGCCTGCCCACCTGTGCTGAGAGGAGATGCAGAGCCCTGTGTGCCCTCACGTCCTGACCCATGTGCCAGGACGTGAGGGCACATCATGGCACAGCCCTGGGCTGCTCCCAGCATGGCAGTGTCAGGCTCCACACCAGAGCATCCCTGCTCTGGGAATGCTGTGCCAAGCAGCAAGAGCTCCACATCCCAGTTCCAGGGGGTTGATGACACAACTCTCTTGGAAGAGAGTAAAAAACTCTTCCCAGCACTGGCATCATCTTGGGATGGGCAGAGCAGCCCAAAGGGCAGAGAGGAGCTGTGGTAGGGAAAGCAGGAAGAAGCTCATCTCCCACCTTTCCATCTCCCCCCCTCACACCTCTGCCCCTGCTCCCAGCTTTCCCTACAGCGTTCCAGCAGCTTCAAGGACTTCAGCAAGTCCAAGGTCAGCTCCCCCGTGTCAAGCGAGGAGTTCAACCTGGAGGAGAATGTGAGTTCCCAGCCCCCTCCGGGACAGCAACACCCCTTGACACATCCTGCTTCCCTGGGAACAGCCCCTTTCAGGGCTGGTTTCCTGAAAATCCTGGTCTTACCAGTAGCCCACGTGTCATGGAGCAGCCCCAGGGTGCCAGCACTGGTGGGATTTGGGATCTCACAGCAGTGTGTGACCCTGCTGAGGCTTGCCCAGGATGGAGGGCTCTGCCTTCACTCTTCACCCCTCTGTCAGATCCCTGAGGATGATCCCAGCAGTGCCAGTCCTGAGGAGGCCGCACGGAGCAGCGGGACGAAGCTGGGCAGGAAGTGGCGGGCGGTCATCTCCCGCACCATGAACCGCAAGATGGGCAGGATGGCTGTGAGAGCACTGGCCGAGGGGAAGGTGAGCAGGGGGTGTGGGGACATGGACAGGTGAGTGGGGGACAGCTCCCCCTCCCTCGGCCTGACCCCAGTACCTCCAGCAGGGAGAGGTGCAGGCGGAAGGGCCCCCATGCCCCCTGTCCCCAGCCAGCAGCGTGGACGAGCAGAGCCATGACAAGGTGCCCTTGTCGTACCTGGAGCTGGAGGAGGAGGAGGACGGGCACCCAGCCCTCGGACGTCAGATGTCCAGTGGTGAGGCCAGCCCCGGCTGGACACTGGCCCCACGTCCCCAGCCGGGCACATCCTGACCCCCTCCTCTTTGCAGGCAGCGACATTCCCAGCCCTGGTGACCCCAGGGACAGCCAGCGGCTGGAGGAGACCGTCCCAGCCTACACTGGCCCCTTCTGCGGCCGGGCCCGCGTCCACACTGACTTCACCCCCAGCCCCTATGACAAGGACTCCCTGAAGCTGCGGGTGAGCCACGGCCACTGCGGCCCTGGGGAGGGAGGGAGGGTGGCTGGGGAGCCCCTGAGCTGGGGGTGTTCCCTGGCTGTCCCCACTACCATCCCATGTCCCTTGGCCTAGAAAGGGGACATCATCGCCATCATAGAGAAGCCACCTGTGGGCACCTGGACCGGGCTGCTCAACAACAGGGTGGGCTCCTTCAAGTTCATCTACGTGGATGTGATCCCTGAGGAGACGGTCCCTGCCCGCAGGAGCCGCAGCTCCAGCCGGAACAAGCGCCTCAAGCCCAAGACCCTCCACGAGCTGCTGGAGCGCATCAACCTGCAGGTGAGGGACAGGGGCTGTGGGGGAACAGCAGCACCCAGCACGGGACCAGCAGTGCAACCATCCCCTCTCCCCTTCACTATCCCCCACCTCGTGGGCCCTTCCACCAAGCACCCAGGGGCACAGAGAGGACACGTGGGGCATTTCTGACTAATGCAGAGGGTCCACCCGTGCACCCACTGAGGGGGAGCTACAGGCCAGCACTGGGGGTCAGGGGGAGCCCTGGGAGCCACCCAAGCCCTGCTCACCCTACCCACGCCCCCCACCCAGGAACACACCCCCACCCTCCTGCTGAATGGGTACCAGACCCTGGAGGATTTCAAAGAGCTCCGGGAGACCCACCTGAACGAACTGCACATCACGGACCCCCAGCACCGCGCCAAGCTGCTGACAGCTGCCGAGCTCCTCCTGGACTATGACAGTAAGAGTCTGGGGAGGGGGCGGGAGACCCCCGACTGGGTACCCCAGCAGCACCACTAACACCACGGCCCCTCTCCCAGCAGCCAGTGAGCCAGAGGATGGTGACACCACTGAGGCCCTGCCATCGCCCTCAGAGCCCAAAGGGGACATTCCCCGGGACTCTGGCTGCTTCGAGGGATCAGAGACCCTGGATGGCAGCCGGGAGGAGGCTGAGCTGGGGGGTCCCTCCATGGCAGAATCTCCCTGAGCCTGCCAGCACTGCCACTTTCCACTCTGGCCCTAATAGGGGGGCTGGATTGGAGGGGATGGCTGCTGGTGGGGGACAGGAGAGCCCCAGTGGTGGCACCTT